AGCGGGTTGCTCACACTGCCCCACTTCTGCAAGAGAGCACATGAATGTGGGTCAGAGAGGGATCTAGTAACAATGAGGCTGATCTCTTTCCCAGCGTCACCAATAAACCTGAACATGGGAGATCTGATGGCCTCTACCATGACCAATCTGAGGGCCAAGCAACTGTTCAAAGTCTTTCCCTCAAAATCTGGGCTGATGCTCTTTAATTAAGTTTGGCTCTGATACCCCTGAACAAGGGGCAGAGAATTTTTGCAGCTGAGAAGAGATTTCTAGTCAAACATGGCAGATTAAACACATGCATTTATCTTCATTCCCTCCCCAAACCCACTAAGGTGGGTTAACAGATATATATAGATATACATATAAAAGTGCCGTTAATAGATATAAATCTACCCAGACAACGAAATGGGAGCAGAGACAGCAGCTGATGAGCAGCATGAACATGTTTCTGAAAGACTGAAAGGGGCTGGAGAAGTGATGACAGCGCAGGAGAGGGAGAGCTGAAACCCAAGTACCAAAAGGTGGGCGGAGGGTGGCGGGAGCAGCAAGGCAAGCAAGCCCCAACTGTAGCCCCACAAAGGCTCAGGGCTTATGCTCAGTGGGCCCTTGTGAGTAAGAGGAGGGCGTTGAAAACAGGAGGACTAGCTAAAATATGTGTAAGGAGCAGCGACGGACCCAGGGCATAGGCCTCCCCATCACCTACCCACTCAGCCAGAAAACTACTCTTCTTCCCTGCCCGAGCTAGAGAAGGGAGGTTTATTCTCTGAGGAAACTGAAGCTCTAGACACGGAAACACAGGCACAGATGAGAGGAAAATGCAATTAAAGCCTATATTTTGAATGATGAGCTCTATGGCCTTCTGCCTTCCTCCAGATCCCAAAACATCGGCAGTCATGTAGTTTACTTGCCACTCCATGATCTTACAGTGAAGTTCCACCATCTTACAGCGAAGCTCCATCACCTTCCAGTGAAGCTCCACCATCTTACAGCGAAGCTCCATCACCTTACAGCGAAGCTCCACCATCTTACAGCGAAGCTCCATCACCTTACAGCGAAGCTCCATCACCTTCCAGTGAAGCTCCACCATCTTACGGCGAAGCTCCATCACCTTCCAGTGAAGCTCCACCATCTTACAGCGAAGCTCCATCACCTTACAGTGAAGCTCCACCATCTTACAGCGAAGCTCCATCACCTTAAAGCGATGCTCCATCACCTTACAGCGAAGCTCCATCACCTTACAGTGAAGCTCCATCACCTTAAAGCGAAGCTCCATCACCTTACAGTGAAGCTCCATCACCTTACAGTGAAGCCCTCGGGCAACAAGCTTCCCTTAAACAAAAAACTTCTGATCATGTGTCCAGGTGAACTGCTGTGCCGGTGCACACGCTCGCCTTCTCCATCTGACGTCTGACACACCCTGACATGCACTGTCACCCTGGGCCTTCCCCACCCTGTCCCTTGCGCCCTAGAAGACCTCAGTCTGACCTAGAAACCACCTCGGATCCCGTAGGAGAAGAGAACATGGCAATACCCTCTCAGTGAGATTTGAGTGTGAACGACAATAGTACTTGACCATTCAGCCTGCCCTTCCCCTGCTTAGATTTTTTTGTTACAATCAGATAGTTGGCCTCTTTGGGAAAAGAGACCCCTAGATTACTCGTCTTTAGATTTCTGACACCTGGCTTTGTTCTTGTCACACGTTTATTAAATGGATAAACTGTGCAAAACAAACAAAAAACAAAAAAAGAAAACCTTCTGATCAGGTTTTTAGTGCTTCCCTCTTAATCACAAACGGATCCTAGAATCAGACATTTCAAGAATATCTTCAGTATGAACAACAGAAACCAAATGAACAAAGAGAAAAACAGGAACTCAGAGGAAACAGAGGCAACAGAAGCAGCAGAAGGGAATTTAAACAACATCAACAACACATCACATCCTCTGAGATTTTTCATCCATGAAGTAAGAATAAATTGCTATTTTTATTTTAAAAGATCTATCAAAGATAGGAAAGAACCCTTGAACATTAAAAGTATGATAGCTTAATTTTTTTTTTTTAAGGCAGTATTGAAAGGTAAAGATGATGACATATCTCAGACTGGTGAACAAAGAGAGATGAAAAACAGGACAGAAAAGATGAGAAAATCCAGGAGGTCCAACATCCATCTAATAGGAGGCTCCTGAAAAAGAAAACACAGAATATGGAAGAAACGAAACTATCAAAGAAATTAAGTCCTAAGAACAGTAGATATGAGATGCAAATTTTCAGACGGAAAGGACCAAATAAGTAATGAGTACACTGAATTTTAAAAACATAAAAAGATAAAACAACTAAAAAAACCAATGAAACAAAAACCATATCAAAGCACATCACTTCTGAACACTGGGAATAAAGAGTCAATGAAATGTGTGAATCTAGGTGATGAGCATGTGAGTTCACTGTACAATTCTCACAACTTAACTGTAAGTCTAATTTTTTTTCAAAATAAGGTTTAAAAAGTAATGAATAAAATTCAATTTCTTTGCTACCATTAAAATATTGTCATTTTTAACACAGCAATGTAAACAAAATATTTTTGTATTGATACCAGGGAACGACTGTTAAAGCATTCTTATATTTTCAATCTGCTTTATTGAGATATAACTAAGTATACAATGGTTTTTGGTATATTACACTGTTAAATTTTTAAAACTGGTAAAATATAACACGAAATTTGCCATTTTAACCATCCCTAAGTGTACAATTCAGTGGCATTAATTACATTCACATTCATATGTGAAAAGCCCAGGACCTAATAACTTCATCGTCCCCAAGAGGAGGCTGAATATGAAGTGACCTATCTGTTATTCTGGCTGCTTACACTCCCTAGAGTCTTTCATACTCTGGGATTCCCAAGGTCCCCCCACTAACCTCATCCATATCACTGATGGACACCCATCACCACGTATATGACAACAGCTGTGTGCCAGATGTAACAGTGTGGGACAGGAAATGTACACAAACACATGGAATACACATGGATGGGAACTCAAGGAGACTGAACAGGATTCCTGGAGTCCTAATGTAATCAGGATATTAAAGCCAAAATGTCCACAACAGGCCATAATTAGATTTCACAACCAAGAGACACAATAGGAAAGGCTATCTTCTTAATGCTGACTTTTTGTTTCCATGACATCATGCTTTGGCGTTAAGCTGCAGTCTTAGGAAGGTGCCCGGACTTTAGTGTTTGTAGCCTGCATCTAATTACCTTTGTAGGAACACCTTTTCATTTTATACTCCTATCTTATTCTTCATAGCTTCCTGACTTGCATGGAAACTGAGGTCAGAAAGTGGCCCTGTGCTTAAGTCACAATTACTCCCTAAGGTTCATGGTCTCTCTGCTATCACCATCCCAGCCCACTCATCTACTCCTCCCCACATAATACTCGTATGCTTGAAAATCACCATTTTAAATGGAAAAGAAAAAAAAAAAGATTTTTTAAAGAAGCGTGTAAAATAATTTAATGTGTGATGTCGAAACAGTCAAGATTTACTGAGTACTGAACTGCTAGGCACTGTGCTTTACATAAATTATCTCATTTGAGCCTCACAACAATCCCAAGATAGATAGCTATTATTCTCATTTTACAGATGATGAAACTGTAGGACTAGAAATAGTGAATGATGTCTAATCATGTGCTTTACCAGTCCAAAAAGGAAGGAAGAAATAGTGAATGACGCTCAAGGTTACATGACCTGCTAGTGACAGAAGTGCGACAGAGCCCAGGCCATCTGACTCCAGAACACCAGGATGTGGTGGCTCTCGGCCCTTCCTCCAACTGAGTCCGGGGTAAGCATCACCATTTATAGACTCTGGAAACTGGAACTGTGGGAAACTCCAGAGTTTATTACTTCCAGCTCTCTCTGAGACAAAAATGCTGGAGGTTTTCTTTATCCTTGATAATCAAATCTGGGCCAATATGTAAGGGCCCACCCAAACACTATGATTTCACAGGGTACATGGAATAAAAAAACACACCAAATATATAACACTGACACAAAGGGAACACATAAATTTAAAATGGTAAATACACCTCTTACACAGAAGGAAAAACTATTAAACCTCCAACAAAATGAAGTCTGTTCTTTGGGAGAAGTGGGGAATGCCAGCACACTTGCATGACTCTATGACATTAAAAGGAGAGGAAAATTCCCTAAGAGATGCAAAGCTTGGTTTCAGAAAATGAATCCCTTGGAATTTAAACTGAGGCACCCCCGCTGAAAGGCATCACAGCTCTGGTTTCACGGCGCTGCCAGGGAGAAGGAACGGAGTCTCTGGCAAGACAACAGATCTGGTCTCATCCCTTATGCCAGCTCCCTTCGGGAAATGGATGGTTATGGGTTGGGGGAGGAGACAAAGGAACGGGTGGGTGGGAAATAGACAGTAACTCGTCTTCGGTGCTCAATTTTTCCACACCATTCACTTGCATACCAAACAGGGCTTGAAGACTGGAGAAGCAGAAAAGGCAGCATACTGGGGAGACAGGGCATGTAAAGGAACATAACAAGTTCTGAAATCTTGCCAACACTTTCCCATAAAAAACAGGCTTTGAGATGAACATGGAGGCAACACAGAAGCTGCTGAGCATACATTTACTATGTTACAAGCTTGACACTTTACTGTAGGATATGCCACCAAGGTGGATGCAAGACTTCAAAAGTGAATCAGCACATTTGGGGTCAGTTTCAGAGTCACATGTCCTTAATCTGAACCCAGGTTCTTTCACTTACCAGCTGTGTGACCTGGGTAAATTACTTAACCTCTCTTGCACCTCAGTTTCTGAATCTATAAGATCATGGTAATACTACAACTTTTCTAGGTAGTATTACTTAACACAATAATTACTTAATTATTAACATGCCTTTATTATTTCTTAACAATCTAGAGGTTGTTAATGAAAGTAAAGAGTTAATAAATGTAAAGTACCTGACACATACGAACATTTGAAAAAGGCAGCCAACAGATGATCTTGTGGGAACAGC